CAGAAGATCAGGACTGCCAGCCCCAGCCCGGCCGCTCCTGCGGCTGCGGCGTAGACGCCCACCTTGGCGCCTTGTGGGAGGTTCGCCCACTTCTGCGCCACCGACTCGTGGTGCTTATAGAGCGTCTCCGCGGCGGTGGAGTTGCCCCTGCCGCCAGTTAGCAGCGATTCATCTGCAATAGAATTGGGGGAAGTACTTACGGAACAATGGTGATGCTCTGGTACGTCCCGTCCCGGTTCGAATAGACGTACTCCTTGCCCGTGGAGAAGTCCTGCACGCTCACCTGCTGCACATACATGTTGTACGGCCCATCATCATAATTAATCACACCGCCGGCCCATTCAATCCGCCCCTGCGGCTGGGACGGGTCGCCTCCGGGCCAGATGCCCAGGCGGATGGTCATGGGCGTCTGCGGGTACGCGGTGCCGCCCTCGGCATCCTCATAGTTCAGCGTGCGCAGCAGGTGGCCGTCCACCCACCACTCGAGCTTGTCCTTGGTCCAGTAGGTGGTGTAGTTGTGGTAGTCGTCGGTGGTGCTGCCGCTGATGTTGAAGGTGGCGGCCGACCCGTTGACGGTCTGGCCCTTGCTGAAGTAGTTGGTCTGCACCTGGGGGCTCTCGGAGCCGACCCATTCCCAGTCGACCTCGTCGAGGTCGTCGGACTGCAGGACGACGCTGCTGATGACGCCGTGGCCCGGGGCGGCCTGCACGTGGTACTCGATGCGGCCGAAGAAGATGTAGAAGTTGGAGCGGATGGTGGGCGAGTCCAGCCTCTTCTGGATGGAGAACATCATGGCGTTGTCGGTGTAGTCGACGGCGCCGTTGGTGATGTTCCAGGTGCTGTCAAGGATGCTGTTGGAGCTCCAGTTCCATGTCCACGACGTGCCAAAGGCCGGATCGGGCGCGCAGCTCTGCTTGGTCGGGTTGCAGTCGGTCCATGTCTGGGCGTGAACGGACGTGATGGCGGCCGCGAGCAGGCCGAGGAGGAAAAGGAGGGTCATTGCCAGTCGTCAGCGGCGATGCGGTCAATTCAAACAGCACAGTTCAACGCAATTCAACTCGATTCACTTCGATTCGACGCGATCTGGTCTCTCGAGGGAGTGGATGTGCGGCAATCCGCACGCGAGAAAGGAGTGGGAGGTCTGGAGAGAAGGAATACCCTGCGCCTGGGACGCAGGCAAAGCAGTGAAATGAGCGACGTGACGCAGCAGTCAGACAGACCAGATGGGATCAGATCAAGAGGAGAAGAGGCCGCCCGCCAGCGGGCTATGGGCGATGGGGCAGGCTCTGCAACGGTGGCATGGGTGGTAAGGGGAGAGAGCAGCGACGCCAAATTTGGGCCGTGACTGGCTGCCGCCCCTGACGGCCCGTTTGACCATGCACGCGCCGGCGCTGCACGATAACGCTTGACGAGCTCCATTCATTCTTGACTCCGTATTCTAGCTTTCCTGTCTGAGGAATGCGAATAATAATAATCCGTGTCTTCATTGAGAGAACTACAGCGCATCAACCCAGCACCCAAGAACTCTTTGACCAGCCGATGCCGTGAGTTCGCGTTCATTTATTTACTCTTCACTACGAACCTAACTAACCCGGTGGCGGCGCGACCCAAGCGTCATTGACAAGTGAGACTAGTCGCCTTCCAAGCCACTATTATCTAGTCCTGCTGTATACTAGCCTAGATGCCTCCTGGATTCCTAGTCCGGCAGAAACGGCAAAAAAAAGCCGCGACGCAGGGGATTATTCACTTCGACGCGACTGCGTAATTAATCCGTACGGAGTTAATAATAATAATTAATGCCAGCTGATAAGAAAAACGACAAAAACGAAAAGCGAAAAATAAAAATAACAGCCTGCGTAGTTATTATTATAATGACCAGCAGACTATTTGCCCTGCAGCCCCATCCATCGACTGATCCATCCATCCATCTTTGCCCCTTTTGAGTTTTTTCGCCTCTCTTGGCAGCCAGGGAGATCTCTTGGCGATGATCAGAACTCATGCCAGTGCGGCTGACGCAGTAGCTACCTAACAGATGGAGTGTGTGCTATTAATAAGAATAAGGTCGGAGCCAGGAATCGCTCAGCAGGATAAAAATAAAGATGAATTGATCGACATGATGTGCGCGTGTTTTGCGTTGCGATACTGTAGTTAGAGACTGGAGGAGAGGAAAGGGGCTGGGGCTGGGGCTGGTGACTAAGCACGACGAGTGGTTGATGACTAAGCGGAATGACTAATTAAATCACATGACTTGACTTGACGCCTCAGGCTGCGACTGATGCCTTGTCTCAATTCCTATTACAGCAAGTGAGCAGTCTGCATGCAATGCAATAGTCGAATTCTTCGATCTATTGGAACTGTCTGAGGTGAGAGAAACTATCTATACAGTCCACGCAACTCCATCCACCGTCTATGTGTTGTGCCTGGCATATATGCACATGTAAATATTTTAGTCCTGGCTGCTCATTATACCTCCTTCGGCGCCTCCTGCTCCTTCTCCTTCTTCCGGATATCCTTCCACCCCAACCCCCACGTGCAGCAGAAACAGGCGCAGGCTAACCCCACCGCCAGGTAGAACACCCTGTCGATGCTGGTGCTGTACGCGGCCGACACGCCCGCCAGCTGTACCGGGTTTGTGACCACCTCTCGAATGCCCGTGGCGCCCGCAGCGACGATGACGGCCGGGTTCACGCCCGGCGCATCGCGGAGGATCGCCGTGCGGAGACTGTTGGTGAAGACGGGATCGCCCGCGGTCAGGAACACGGCGCTGCCAAAGGTTTGGCAGAACGTCACCAGAGACATGGAGATGGATGTCAGCGCCGGCGGCAGCGAGTTCTGCACCGCTGTCAACGGCATTTGCATCCCCATGCCGCGCGCGGCGCCGAGCAGGATCTGGTATCCGATCCATTTCCCGGTCGAGGTGGATGGCGACAAGGTCGACAAGAGGCCGTTGCTGACGGCCAGCAGCATCGCGCTGCCCACACTCCAGGGCAGATAGTAGCCCAGTTTGCTGACTAGGTTTTGTCAGCATCCTACTCCATTGTTGTTTCCATGCTCGTCCGGTAGATAGATTGCACTCACCTGCTGCTCCCGCCGCAACACCAGCGATCAACTGACTGATGACGTTCGGCAGTAAGTAGACTCCACTCAGCATGGGGGAGACCCCCTTCACGGCCTGGAAGTAGATGGGCAGGAAGTACTCCACCAGCTGGAGCATGCCGAAGAAGAAGAGCTGGACCAGGCAGGCCGACCACACCGCTCGTACGCGCACCATGGACAGCGGGATCATCGCCTCGTCGCCCTTGAAGTACTCCCACACGAGGAAGACGATGAACGTGCCTCCCGCGCCGCAGAAGAGCCCAATCACCGTCGCGCTGTCCCAGGCGAACTGGTTCCCGCCCCAGACCAGGGCGAGGAAGAACTGGATCGCCGCAGGAGCAAACAGGGCGAAGCCGACCAGATCGAGCTTTGTGAGAATGGTTTTCAGGACGGAGAGCTCTCGGGGTTTGATGCTATCGGGGATGTCGATGAAGAGAAGCAAGATGGCCACGAGGCCGCCGATGGGGAGGTTGATGTAGAAGCCTGTAGCAATCCAGGTTAGTAATCGATAACTATACTATATATAATATATGTCTGTCTGGTAAACGTTCACCATCGCCAGGTCGTGTACGACGTGAACGCACCACCAACAAGAGGCCCAGAGATGATGCCGAATTGCGCGACTAGCGATAGCTATTAGAATGCATCTGTCATGACCAGACGTCTATGTCTATACTTACCGCCTATCATCGCCCCAAAATATGCTGCAAAGGATTAGCTTGACATCAACCAGATATCTCAGATATCTCACTAGGGGTGTATACCAGGCCGCTTATGCGTCGGCACACACGACGACAGAATCGTCAGAGAGCCATTCATCAAGCCCGCACTTCCCAGACCAGCCACAGCTCTTGAGACAATCAGCATCTTGGACGAGGTCGACACGGCACAGAGCAACGAGCCGAGTTCGAACACGAAGAAGAAGGCCAGGAACGTCCACTGCTGTCGTTAACAAGTCGACAACGGCATAGAATTCAGTCACACCCACCTTGGAGCGGAAATTCGAATACAGCTTCCCGGCCAGCGGCTGGAGAGAGGCACTGGTTGCGCATCAGCAGATTTCCCGGTGGATGCAGACGACCTGATTAATGTATGTATGTACAGTACATACTTAGCCAACTGATACGAACTCCCATACCAACCAACATCTTGCAACGCATGAAAATCGCTAGCAATGCGTGGAACGGCCTACCAAGAAATCAAAAAAAAAAGAATACCATTAATACAATGCACCGCAGAAATCAAAACAAGCTGAAGAAGCAGTCAATGGGTCATTTCTGTCAATGACTTATGTACCGTCGCGATAATGCTCATGTCGAGCAAGATCAAAAACCCCACTAGCGTCACTGCCACCGTGATGAGGTACAGTCTGATTCCGGTGATGAAGCCTTTTTCTTTTTCTTCTTGGTCTGTCGAGTTGGGTCCTGTTGTGGTGTCTGCTGCTGCTGCTGCGGCCTTCTCTTCGTCATCTTTATCGTTCTTGTTCTTGTTCTTGTTCTTCTTAAGTGAGGACGGATCATCGCAGCTGGACAATGTTTCTGCTGCTGCTGCTGCTGCTGCTGTTGTTGTCGTCATTTCTTCCGTGTTTTCTTCTCCATTATTCCTCGTCGCAGGTGATGCTTGATCGGAGGAGACGGGGGAGGGCGAAGACGCCCGATTAGGCTTCTGCGCGTCCATAGGTAGTATGCGCGATCTAGAAATCAGGTGCCCAACCCCAATAAAGAAAAGACGAGTTGAAAAAAAGGATAGAGAAAAAGAAACGAAGCTTTTTTTTTTAATCTATCAATCAATCCTCTTCCCGCTGTCTATATATATAATGTAGCAAGCGACCTGGCGTGAGGACATCTCTTGTTTCCTTCAACAAGGACATTATTAAAAACTTCTCTCTGCTTATATATGAATTGCCAAAACCTCAAATAATAATAATAATAATAATAATAATAGATTCCACCGAAAAGTAGCCCAGCCCAGCCAGCCAGGCAACAGACAAGAAACAACCAGATCGGGAATGGAATCGGAGTTGGAGATGAGGGTTCGGATTTCGGATTTCGGATTTCCGGGGTGCCGAGTCCGATCGTATATACAGTACATACTCCGTACATAGCTTACTTACCTAACGTATGTACTCTATGAATACCTCTTTTTGTTGAATGTTCCCTGGTCAGAAACATTTAAACAGAAATTAATTGCGAAAATTGAGAGAAAAGGGAAGGGGAAAGGGGGAAGGGAGGGACGAAAAGTGGTAGTTAATAGATGATCTATCTCCGATTGGATTAGCTGCTGCCATACGAGTAAGAGAGACGAGTAGGTAGAAAATACCATCTAGCTAGGTAATAGGAAACAAAACAGAATTATACCAATCCAGATGACTTCATTTCCATTTTTTATACCTGTCTATATACGGATACTATAAATCCCACAGTCCAAGAATCTCTCTCAGAAAAGGATCAGCCTCGTCAAAGAAAGAAAAGATCCCTGACGTCGGGAACTGCTGCTCTGCGGCCGCAGTAGTCTCTCCAACCGGGCCGCTGTTTCGCACCGACTCCGCATCGCGTCTGAATTCCCACCAGGATTTGAGAGCGCCGATCAGCTTGGTCGTCTTGGCCAAGGCGTCGTCCTCTTCCTGGCCGACCTTCCATCCCGACGCGGCCTTAGCATGCTGTAGATTACTCAGGACCCGGTCGAGAATGTGCGAGAAATCAGCCGTGCTGCGCACGAACCGCGTGTCCCACGCAGGATCGTTGAGCGTTGAGAGTCGGTACAAGGCGAAGATGCAATACGCCATCTGGGAAAAGATGAGTACGGAGAATCCTAACCACGCGGACGGCGGACACTGGAAGAACGCATCGAACCAGGCCTTGATCGCCTGGAGGCAGGCGTAGAGATAGTCCAGGCGCTGATCGTCCGTGTCCGACCCGACGGACACCAGAGGAGCACGGGACAGCGCAATCTCGTTCACCACCACTTCCGTACACAGGACCTGGAGCGATATGATCTCTGCTAGCTGTCAGCTCGGTATAAGATGATACGCAGATGCGGTGGCCATACCGTTGTTCTCTAAATGCGGGGGAATTTTGCTCTTCACGTCCTGTAACTGCGATTGTAGTCCTTTCAGGTAGAGGATCGACCCTCTCAAATTCTCCACCTGCTCGACTTCTCGGTTGCGTATACTGATGGGAACCGCCTTTTCAGTGATCAGGTGCAGTCGGATCTGGTACACGAAGACTTCGTCGGTGGGATATTCCGGTTTTTCAGCCAGCACCTGCAGACATTCCTCCATGTACGGCGACCAGCGCATACCCTCGAATTTTTGATAGTACGATGCAATACTAGACCAGTCAGCCGAGGATCGTCCAAATGTAAGCTGGGTACCAACGTTGAACTCAACAGAAAGCAAGCCAGGACTGCTCGCCGGTGCTCCATAGTCCGAGTCCGAGGCTGTCGTATTTTCGGATGGACGTACGACAAGTTCCGCAGCATCTTGTTCGAATCTTCTCGCTGGGGTCGATGAAGCCCCAGATCATATACGAGAGACATGCAAAAATGGGTGAAAACGGTCAGCAGCGGTCCATTATGGACCTGGTAATGGCCCCTAGGAACATTAGCATAACGTTTCTTTTTTTTTCTGTAAATCACATACCACCCAACAAAAACGAGGAGTCCAAACAGGAGGTCCAAACTTCGCTCGCCATTCACCAGGACTTCCCGCGAGGATTTCGAATTTCGAGTCCACCGACACTCCTCGCAGATCAGACCAACTGGATATCCGAAGACATGATTGGTTGTGGAAGAATCAGCATGCACATGTCTCAGCAATTGTTATTATTGAAAGGCTTGATTGATTCGATTGCCCTGTCGTAGCCATGTGACTGAGGTCAGCTGAGATGCCTGCCGAATCGGGTTACCCCAGGACCTTCCCCATGGGGAAGGTGTGAGCTCACGATGACTAAGCAGAAGTCTGCCAGCAGCTGATATTCTGATATTTGTTCCAGTACAGTGTAGAGTAGTCGATTGTGCACTTCGCCTTTTTTTTTTACGGAAATAAATTCTTCCAGCAACACGATGGCCCCTTGTCATTTATGGGGAGAACCGTAGTTAATAACTTCATCAATATACGAACAAGGTTAGGTGAGGAGAAGTATTTAGAAGGAGATTAGGCGGCGAATTGATCGATTTTAGTGCTGGGTTATAGATAAAAAAAATAGTTTCAATGTCAATCTGTACGGTGTCATCTCACGCAGTATAACACTGACTACTTTTTTTCTACGTCAGATATGCAGGTCGTATACTCCGTAAAGCGCGCATAGTACGTGGGCCAGAGGCTAAGTCCCTGGGATATGCGTTTGTATTCGACTTGTGCAGTACGAATAAGACTCATTAGTGCTTATCATGTCTCAATTGTGCAGGACGTGCAATGGTGACCGAGGTTGGATTTTTTGCTGTAGGGCTGTGCAAGCTCAGGCCAAGTGGGACGCGATCGGCGACTCCGTTCAGTGGGAACGCGCTTGCCGATCGATCGTCCAAGTTCCAACTTCAAACACTCCGCCGCTCGTCGACGACGGTACTCCGATTCCTCGGCAGATTTCCTGCATCGCGCGTCTAGATCGAGCGACGGTTGAATCATCAGAATGTTTTTCTCGTCAGACCACTCACCCACCCAGCAATACGATGCTCTCGAGACACGACATGATGGACGGCCCCCAAGTGGCTACCTTATTGCCAAGGACTGGTCCCTTGGTTGGCCAAGCAGTGGGCGAGCTTAAAGGGACAATTCCAGAATTCTTCAACGCGCATTATTTGCTGCCCCGGATCAGCATACCAGACTCGCCGTTAGCGCTGACTTGAGCACGACCATCGTCGCTCTCCCCTCAGGCGTCCAGCCTCCAGATCAGAAAGAGCCATCACTGCTTTTGCTGGCTGCCAAGAGCTTGGCCGAATTCAGATTTTGCCGTTCTAATTATTCTTCCATCGCCGTCCCGATGGAGTGGAATGGGGTGGTTATCCAAGATGGTATGCGAATAATGCAGCCGCGTCGGCCAGTCCGGAGCGGATCCGGGCAGATCAATTGGCCCGATTCTCCGGAGGATCGCCCTCGCCCAGTCCACTCCTTCGTGCTTTGGTGGCATATGACGACGTCAGGGCTG